ACACATGTCTGCTTCTTTGTTAACCGCTTACTTACAGTCAAGCAGTATCATAATACTCGCCCGGGAGTTGTAAACACCTGTCTGAACTGCATATATATATAGATATATATTTCACACACGTCTGACACCAGACTGTGTCAAACAAATCATGGTACAATAGTCTTTATAAAAAGAAAAACGTTCCATGATTTGTATGTGGGCTGAATACTGCCAGGTTGACAAGGCTAAGGCAGATGTATTTTCTTGAGGCATCCATTACTGGAGCCTTCGGCTAGCAAAGCCTGACCCATAAGGCAGCGGGGCGGTGTGTGAAAAATGCAGTTTATTGGGAGCCGGTGTCCACTTCATCAGATCATACGCCTTTCGGACGGGGTCAGACGTTCAAGGTGCTCAATACGCATCGATACCAAATTAAGCCGATAACTGCCACAACCGATTGGGTGTGGGTGTGGTTCGCACACCTCTTGGTTGATTCGGAAATGAAGGTTTTTGTCCAACTCCCCTAGGTGAATTACCAGTGGTCCACGAACCCGGTTATAAACACGGATATTGGCTTTTCGTCCTCTCGCTTTCGTGGGAAAGCACCTCCGCCACGAGAAGACTGAGTAGGGCTTCTTCAGCAGAGGCTATTCGAGACGCTTGGTCATTTGGGAGCATTTCACGAGGTGCAGGGGAAGGGTAACTATCCGCAACCCTAGACACCCACCCCCGACCATACTGAGGCCTTCGGAGCTGTAAATAATAACGGGAAATCTTCATAAGAATTTCCTAATAACTTGTCGGTAAGTTTTCGAATTTAACGAGGTGTATGATCGATCTAACAAGAGATTTAGTTTCTCCAGAATATCGAAATGGTCCCAAATAGACCCAATTCGGTAGCTCAGTTTCGCCACTGCAGATGCAGATGACATTACAGAATTGTCGGTTTGGGTGAACCCAGCGCAGGTGTATATGTCCATACACTCATAGCCATTTCCGCCACTCTATTCGCCGAGTGCAACCCACACAACGGTGGGATTCTCAATGGACATCCGTGATGAGCTTAGTTGACACAGTCACCGCTATGGACGAGGGCGATGGTAACGGGATAACACACTTTTTTTCGAGCAGTGGAATCGCGGCAGTTCATTTTGTGCTAGTGTTATATTGGGATTGGTAAACACGCGTGCAGGAATAGCGGTATCGATTTACTTCCGGGTGGCAGACTCTGATCTAGAGTATGCAGACGACATTGTGCTACTAAGTGATGATCCAGGTAAGTTACAAGCTTTTCTGGATAGTTTGAGTGTTAGTGTTGCCATGTTCAGTATACGTTTTGCACCTTCAAAGTGTAAAATGCTACTACAATATTGGGTTGATCCAGCACCCAGTCTCACCCTAACTGGGGAAGTAGTAGAGGAAGTAGACAAATTTTGCTATCTAGGCAGCTATATCTCACCTGGCGGACGCATCACATCCCTGGCTGGGGACCTCGGGATGATGGTCACCGATGGTTAGCTACACTGAGTGATATGGCTGGGTGTCGCAAACGGTGGCGCTCGTGCATCCACTCGTTATTTTCCTAACACCACTCTATATGTATTCCCCATCTTTCGCTTGAATTTGCTTCGACGTTTCAATCTTCATTTCGCTCTTTTATCCAAATGGGCAACCAAAAGACAGCAACCAAAACCGGCGCACGAAAGTGCATGGTTAATGGTTGTAACAACTGAACAACAAATGAANAACACGCGTATGCACACCTACGATTTGGCTTGTAAGATCATGTGATGCGAAGGGGTTGGTTCCTATCGCTGACGAAGCTTTAACTGCTCCTGTACCGAAATTATCGAACGGGCTGGGAGCAGATAGTTTACTCTGTTTGAAACACGACGCAAGCCTTCGAATCAAAAGGACTGCTGTACGCCTGGGCTGATCAGATAGTGATTTGCTCCACAAGACTACGTGGTTACGCTGCGAGTTGTTCCAGTGTGGCAAAAGCGCGTAGGTGATTTTGTGAATGAAAAAAGCTAATAGCAAAGACGCATTGCTTGTGCACCATGGGATCGCGTGAGCTGGTGCTATGGTCATCACTGTTAACGATCGCACCGATAACATTCCACGCGTACCGTAACGAATTCATGCGTCAGTTTCAGTTTGCATGGCAGAAAACTTAACAGGAAAGCGCTCGAGGTAACGATCACGAGGGTCGGTTCAATAGGGATACGCCACATTTGGGCTTGTAAGCCAAGCACTGTTTAATACATGCCAAACAGATTTTTACGTAAATACAAAACATCAGTTTAAGAAAAGATTTGAAAATTGGTGTCGGAGAAACTCCTCATCTGAGAACGTCATGCAAGTTGGAAAAGTGGTCAAAAAGGCCTTGTGGTCTTCATAACCAGTTTCTATCAGCAAGAGCTTTGGGTTATCGGATTATACAAAATGAATAATTTTTTGTATTTGTCAAGTTGTCATTTAGTTCATTTTGTCTTACTAAAATTGTATTATGCAGTACCGCTTTTCTTCAGTGGCTGTAAACAACTCCAAGAAAATGGGACCAGATTTGACGTGACATTGCAACACTGGGTTTTTCAACTTTTTCTTATTTCTTTGGTGTAAACAATGGGCTCAGATGAATATAAAAAATTGTCAGTATGTATTATGCACCACTGGCTTGTTCTCTCTGCGAGACTAATAGAGCATTTGACCCTGAGGGTTGGCGATCTCGTCTGGTGTGGGCTTTTGAAGGAAGAATTGCCGGCACCGCGTCTGGTGTCTCTCGGGCCACCCATTCGGTTCCACACTCGCGAACGTGTCTTCTAACTAAAAAAATTTTTATTTGATGATAATAATTAGTTATTAAAAGTCAAGAATTTGTTCCCATTGGTTGAATTTTTCAGTGAACTTGTATGATGCGTTGGAATAAAGCAAACACTATAGAGCGAGAACAGTTACTCTCCTGCTCGTCTCCATCGGCCAAGATTCAAAGAAGACTGAGTTATTGAAGCAATGTGATGGAATCGCCAGACTACTGCTCTTCTTTTACATGAGGTCCTACTTTTTTTTAAACCCGTTATTGATCACCTAGAAGAGTCAGGGGATGTTTCTATCGTTTCATGCGATGACTCATTTGAACAATGAACGACATGTACTATCCTTGTCAGGACAGCTGACTGATTAGTCAGAAGGAGGCTCATCGACATCTTGATTGCTGTAGTGTCGACTGCTCACCAGAATCTCTTGCTGATCGAAATTGGCCAAAACTGCCATTTTTACCACTTTAAACAGTATCGGAATAAGAACTTGTTTCAGTCACTAATTTTAGATAAAGATTACTGAGATAACGAGGGATTTCTTGCGTAACGAAGTGTTTCTGGCTTTGGAATGAATGGTTTTATTCTTTTGTGTTTCCATTTTTAGTGACTTTACGGTCGATATGCCTGTGCATCCATAGATTAATCGTTTTAAATCATGGCCCAATCACATATCTCGTTGGATAGGGAACACAAATAAAACGATCTTTCACAGTCTGCCCAAACTCCATCACGTAGCCTGTAATTGAAGTGTTATGATCGCCATTCTTCTTTTCACCTTCTCGTTCTTTATCCTTGACACGTTACCGCCGGGTTTATTCCAGTTGAAACATTCGATCCAAGGATAGCTTTCGTTTTAGTCTCGGAAAGTTTTCAAGGGTGACCTATTCGCTTTATTTTTTTCTTGTCTGTTATGATCGCCTAATGTATCCGAACTCAGTAGACCTTAATCGGTCGCATCGCTTGGTACACCTGCACGCTATTTGACAACTCATTTGGGTGCATCCTAGCTTTCTGTGGAAGAGTTTCCTTAATGGAGTACTGGTAGAAGTTACCTTCATCCGGCTAATTTAGAGCTGGTTGACGAACTTCAAATTCCCATGGGCGATTGGAACAGGGCATGTTTGATAATCCAACGTTTGAAGCTTCCTCACGTGAGCTTTTTGTCACATGAGTCGGCTTTCAGGCAAGCCTACTGAAGTGTTCGGGGGTAGAATGTGAAAGGAATATTCCGGAATTGACCAAAATTTGTACCGAAGTCACACTGCAAAAGGTGCTTTGTACTCTGCTAACGTGCTTCATTTGTATGGAACCCCGAACGGGGGAGAACGTAACCTTTTTCGAGGAATTATTGAATAGTATCGGCCTTACTTTCTTTTCATGAAAATCCAAAAAGTTGAAATTTCATACTTAGGCTTCTAAATTGATCATTCGAATAGTAATGCTCCCGAGGGATTATTGCGGTTCATCCAGAAGTAGGGGACACTGGAAAACCCCTTGAGGTCAGGGAACTTGCTTTGCGGAATGTATGGACATAACCATAACCGCATCGCGTAATTGTCAGATAATGGTTGTTTCGATGAGATAGATTTAAATTTGTTCCCACCATTTTGTGTTTGATCCCCTTTATTGGTTAACATCTTATGCATCTGATCATGTGTTTTGTTGTTGTTGAAAATCGCTATCCCGAGGTATTTTTCGAAAAATTTTCCTCTGATTCATCGTTTCCACTCTTTTTCCCACTCATCCCCCCTCCGCTTGTCCAGTTGATAAAATCATGCGTATTCTCAAATCACTTGGCCCAAGCGCGTTGGACCTTGAACTACGTCTTCTAGGCCCCTCGGCCGAGGAGGAACGCATAGCACACTCTGCTCTTGATGATCAGGAATCGACCAACTTGCGGGACACGCGGGATCGGCTACATGGGTTTTTGAGACTTCTCATCAATCGGTAGGTTGTTTCTACGTATTGCAACCGGTTTCAATTCTGTTTCCGGAATAACATGACCCATGAACATACAGATATGTATATACATTGTGAATTGTGATCTGTTTAATTGACTTCGGTATTTACTTTTTTTCTCATGGTGTGGCTATCACACATGTCGTATGCCTCGCCACCAGTCGGTATGTGTGTATGTATCGAATTCCTATGCTTAGTGCGTACATGTATAGCGTTAGATCCATTACCTGAGAGTTCAGTAAATTCTACTATTCATTGTGAATTCTACTGGCACAACGCTGAGGAGGTTCGGACAGGAACCCTTTTACTGTGCGACAGTTAAAACAAGACTTCTCGTTCTGCTCACAGTCTCTAGCTGATCAGTGCACCTAATTCCATTATTTTTGCACACAGCTGAGATACAAGCGGTGTACATTCGTATGGTCCGGGGTTGGAGCTCCACTACGGCCACCCAACTTTTCTGTGTCGTCCGGTTGAATGCTACGGCTAACCTAGCGAGGTCTTGCTTGGTCTGGCATTCCAAGTCCAGGTGGATTGGGTTACCGAGTTCCTTCGCTGAACAGATGGTCTTCGTAACTACGGAGTCCAGCTCGTCTGCCGTTCATCATACAATTGTCTACATGAAAAAAGAGCAACGTGCAAAAAATGACTAATAGCGCCTCAAGTGGATGTTTGCTAAACCTCCATTGTCAGGCCATAGTGCACTATTTAAGCGTGGATGCACGCCTTTTCATACATTCTGACGCAGAAAAAATGACAACAGGAACGCCAGTGATTTGGTTCGCGACCGCACCCTTCAGTATTACCATCCAACAAGTTATTGTCTTTTGCGTCCCAGCCTGGAATTCGAGAGATACCTGGTTGCTCTGTACGTTTCCGCACACTTTGTCTTCACGTTGTTGGCCTCCTGAGCGGTAACTGCAAATAAGTTGCGGTGCGGCAAACAACAGTTGGGTATGCACAATGCGTATCCTGACTAGCAATGACTATTCGTATGAATTCGATGTGGTCGCGAGTTTTTCACCGATACTTCCCAAAGCACACAACGACGGCCCAACTCAAAATTACTAACCCACTCATTCCAACCCACGGGTGAAAAACTACTTACTCGTCGGTTGTTGAAAGCAATTACTTCAGTAGAAGACGCTATCAACTGCAGCCAGTTCGTGTTCGTCCATATTCAAAGTTGCTGTAGTTATCTGATGTTTTTTAGCATCACTGCATTTTAACGATGGAACGCACCTACCGAAACGAGCAACGGAGTTTGCTGATCTGTCAAGTGTGGGCCTCTTTGTCGATTGAATCAAAAGCTCTTTTGAGACCAAGAAAGTGTGCTATTGTTGTTCGCAAAGTAAAGACATCCCTGAACCTTTGACCAGATCAGAATCCAGTGTGTTGCTCACAGAAAAACTGGTCCATCTCATTTGTCCAGGTATGAGACAGAAATCAATACTTTGGTGAGCATCTGTGTCAAGCTTATCCATAGGTGAATAGTGCAGTGATTGCGAGATATCATCTTGAAAAAAATGGACCGATCATTGATTTGTGTGTCCCAAGATAATGGACTACTTTCCTGTGACCAGATGCAACAAGTTAGTGATAACGCCCCTGAGGTTGTCAACCCCCCACCCCATCGCGAAAACTGTGTGGACGCCATTTGCGCCCACCTACATTTCCTGTCCTGGAGTGCAAGATCGTACTTCTGATTCTTTCGGCGAGTCTCATGACACTACTTATCAAAATTTACCCTCATCAGACACGCTAATTTGGTTAATAACAGGTCAGCTGAACTGTTCTTTGAAACACCCCAACCAGCGATCAAGTCGTTGTTCCCTATTATGAATAACCTGTCCAGTGATTATTATTTTATTTCACTAACTGGGGGCCACCAACTTCTGTGAGTTGAAGTTGCAGACACCAACCATCCCTGTTTTGATCTTGGTCGGTTGAGATTTGCGTTAGTTCTTCCAGCAGCATTTGCAGCATTTGCTGCAGAGTACATTGCAAGTCTGATGCGAAACGATTGATCATCAGTACTGCCACGTTGCAGAGCTCTTAGCTCACGCCCAGGTTTACCTCATGGAGGGCACAAACGGCTGGAACGTATAAGTGATGATGAGCTCACCGAGTCTGTCAGGTTTTCGGCGACGAGTGAGTCGAATTGTGAATTGTATCAGAACTAACGTGTGATCCATTAGAATCTACAATTTTATACGAGGTCAGGCCAATATTAGCTCACTGCTATGTGCTCAGTTTGAGCCAGGGTACCCGTTGGATTCGCGCTCCACGTCGCCGTCAATCTGCGCATAGGTGTAGAAATCGATCGTCGTTATCTGTTCGCCGGTTGGACACAACACAATGAGAGCATTTGAAAACTTCGGCTAGGTTTATGCTCCAAATCTGTGGGTGGAAATCACAACCTATCGCACGATTATCAATTTCGGGTCTAACGAAAGAGTTCAATGAATTTGTCACGGAACCTGTCTGTTTGTGCATCCAGACTGCCGTTTGTTTGGTGCATATGCGGGAATGATAAACAAACGCCTTTTGATCTTACTTTCTTTCTGGACACTGATTGTTTTCTGGAGCAGCATCGCGCACAAATGACGGTTGACGGGAATTCAGTCAGCAATTGTGACTTCCGCTGTACCTACTTCACGTTGATCTACTGAGCGGACTTCGTAGTTGCGTTATTTGCTGAGAAAGCTCCTCGAGAATAAACTTGTGCACCCACTTAACTCATACTACGACGAGGGTCCGATGCTGTAGATCACTTATGGTGACCAAATTCTCAGTGAATTATCCAAACAGTGTAAACGCGAGTCTTCGGTCTATGGAACTTCTTCTGACTGTTACGAATTTTCCTTTGATATAATTTTTTATTGGTCTTGAGAACAGTTGACGTTTGTGGTTTTTAAGCACACAACACACACACACACGACATAAATGACAGACGAAAGCTATCTTAATTTTTTTCAGCTCTGAAACATTGTCTTTTGGAGTACCTGGCTAATTTTCTCCCTATAAGCGGTGACCTATCGGAAATAGTTGATCGGTGGTATTCGTAGATGGAGAGCATTGTAACCTGTCCGAATCTGGTCTGGCACCATTTAAGACTATCACCGTAACTTTGTTGGTACACACTTAGCTGTTGATGGTCCACAGGTGCATCCGCCCATGGTTGACCGAGTTTATTTCACGATTACCACTGATTTCCAAGCTTCTTTCATACATGATCAATGAAACTAACTTATCCTTCCGCTGAAGCACCTGGTGTTCCACTAAAGTGACTGATGTTGACGAAGTTTGGTTCACAGTTTTATCGGGATTTTGACTTAGTACTGGTCGGGACTACTAACGTGATGCACACATCAAACGTGCATTGTTGGTTCTAACGCTTGAGATTGACCATTCAAGTATGTGACTGTAGCGCT